CTCACCTGCAGGACACGTAGAACATTTGATGGGTCCTCCTCATTTTACACACCCACTCTCTCTCACTCTCTCTCTCTCTCTCCTCTCTCTCTCCCTTCTTATTGTATGCCTTATATGCATAAGTAAACACTGAAATTGGGTTCCCCATTGAATGGTACCCCTGGCAAATACACAGACACGTATATATCAAATCGTTCTATACAGAAATGACTCTATATTCGCTTAACTATATGCCATATGATGGATGGCGGTATGATAATAAGCAGATTTTAGGGGGGATCAAGCTGATTGACTGATGCCCAAATAAAATTTGCCTTCAGGCCTACCCAAGATCCAGGGAAATTAATTGGATTCTTTATGGGTTATGAAGGAGTTTCAATTGAATTTTCCGTTTTTTATGTTCTAACATAAAAAGTGAAAGGAAGGGAAAGTATCTCTTGAGGAAAATGAAAAAAAGTGGAATGTAAACTCTTGAGTTAACGTAAAGTTAAAGAATATCCAGTCTATTCTACATCTTTTTTGCTATCCATCATTTTTAATAAATATTTAAACAACATTTAATTCAACATCCATTCGAATAGGAGTTGATTTCTTAGCCCAATTTGTTCTAACCAAGTCTGACCTCTTGTCATAACAGCTTGGACTTTCAGTGGTTGCAACTTGACTTACGAAAAGACCAAAGCCCAGCCAACAATCGATTGACTTCTGTGGTCGAATGTACTTCATTTTCTCGTGAACTCCCCTCCCCCTAATAAATGAAATAACAGTGGTTAAACTAATCACTCTGCCAGTTATTCATTCAATCATTCAGTTTGTCAATCTAACAGAGAAGCTTTATACCCAAACAGGTGTATCCATCAAAGGCACGTGTTAACTTTTGTCATCTAATAAAGCTTATGGAGCGCTAAATTGGATTTGCATACATTACGAGTATGGAGTCACATAATGGTTAGTCTACCCTCTAATATCCCTTTTCAAGCGTGAAAATTCCACTCATTTCGGGCCATTCACATTGATCATCGTGACCATTGACCAATTTAGGTATTTCAATTTAGCTCATGGCAATGAATATTTTCGTATACCCACTGTCATTACTCAACAAGATTTTGGACTCTATGTTTACATTTGATTGCTGGAAAATGCGATTAAGCTGAGTGACTTCAAAGTGTCTAAATTCGATTTCGGTTTGTTCCTGAAAGGGAAATTGCTTGGAAAAAAGGGAAAAGGAGAAGAGAGACAGTTCCTAATTTATGCTTAATAAGACTCCAGTCGTAAATCTCCGAGGTGGAGCTGCATGTGTGCCTGCCCAGCTGCCCTTGGGAGTCATAAATAAAACCCAGAAAGCAAATCTGCACATAAAGTGAGCCAAATGCAACCATCTCGTGCTTCTTTTTTTTTTTTTTGGGGTGGATCCCGAGCACAGTTTGCATTTTAATGTCCTTAGTGGAAAAGTGAACCTAGAGCCTAGGGCCTAGAGCGAAAAGGTCAACATAACGCGCTTTCCAGTAGTGGTTACGCGAATGGCCCTCTGAAACCTCCCCGTGGGGTTTCTATTCCCCACTCTTCCCTGCGGTCAGTGCAACGGTTTGAAATTACGAGCCAGCCAACGAAAGGGACAAACAGCTACAGGACATGGCTGAAATGAGATGAAAATATGGCTGCAGTTGACTAGATGGCCATAAACATGTTACATGATCCCTTGCCAAAGGCGAAACTGAGGCCAAAAGCTGAGGCCAGCTGGCCCCAGAGTTGCCAGGCAACCTGACTTGCCAACTAATTTGCATGGCTGCATACACGCAAATTAATTGGTACTTTAAGAATGGATGAGGTTTGAAAAGATGAGATTGGGTTTAAATTAGGTTTATATAAGGTTTTAGCTATCACTTTCGTTGTTACACTTTTATGGTTAACAGACAAGACTCTTGTTAAGTTTATACATATTTCTATCTAAAATAAAGAACCTTTAAGTTAACCTTTAAAGCTGTTTATTATTGACTTTTTCAATTAACTTTATAGTTTTATATAACTTAAAGTCGGCAGATCCCTCTCCCCGATTCCAGCCACTTTCCCAATGAATATATCGATTGATTAGTAAAACTTGTCCAGCACTTGGCAACCCATTAGTGGCCCTATAAACCGCCGCCTTCTCTTCTCTTCTCCCCTGAGCTCCATTCATTCCGGGGAGTGAAATTCCTGCAGCCAAGGTCCGGGAAAAAATCAAATTACTCCATTTGCATGCGGAAAGTGCAGGGAGCGAAAGCGAGGGTGGCGCGGAATGGAAAATCGTGTTGAAGGAGAGTATGTACATGCATAAATAGCTTACGCCCACTGGGTTCACATTGGGCTCACATTACTGAATCCTTGCTGTGCACCACGTGGCGTATGAGTAACGCAACGCCTTATTAAGCCTGGCAACTTGGCAAACTTGATGGGGCATCCGAAGGTTATCGAGTGCTGGACAAGTGTATAAAACATTGCCTTGCTCTTACTTGCTTAATTCGTTATTTTTATTCCGCTACATTTTCTTTCGCCCCTTTTTGCTGTTTGACACAGAAATGCAAATGAAATTTACTAAACGAATTTTCTTGTAAAACGTCACAAACGGCCACGCCCCATGCCGAGCTAAAGGGGGTGGGAGGTGCAGCTGTGGGAGGTTTTTCGGGAGATGTTTAGGGTAGTGTGAGTTGACAAGCCCTTAATGCCTTTTCTGGCAACAGGGGAAGTCGTCACATTTTTTGATACACAGAAGGAAAAAGGGAATTTCTTTGATTATTTCAGTTTGGGACATTCCGAAAAGGAAAAATAAATTTTAAAAATATAAAATATTTGTAATGAAACATATTCTAGACCTGAGCTAACAATTTTGTAATAGTTTCTTTTACTCCAGAACTAATATTAATCCAGAAACCGTAGAAGTAATGACTAAAAATTATAAAATACTAAATATAGTTTCCTTAAAAAATGTTATTTAATTCTAAAAATATTCTTTTACAAATTTAAGAATATAAGTTGACTGAATATTAACTAATAATTTTTGTTTATTTTAATATTATTATTAATATTAATCCAGAACCGTGGAAACAATGCCTGAAGATGATAAAATAACAAATATATTTTCCCTAACACATTTTATTCAAATTTAAAAATATTTTTTCTTAAATTAAAATAGTTAAGTTGACTAAATATTAAATAATAATTACTGTTATTATCTCAAATAGAGTGAAAGCACTTATTTTTCTTAAAAAAAACAGATGGCCAATGGCGACCACTTGACAGCCATAGGCTCAACATGCATACAAGTCCTTTGCCACCCATCCCTATCCATGGCCCTGCTTCTGCTCCTTCCTAGTGATGTTTTCGTTGTTATTATGGAAGGACAACGCTCACTTGGCTTGCCTTTTGTTTTGCAAACAAAGCAAAGTGGGCTGCGGAACAGGAAAGGGGGTGAGAGGGGCGGATGGGATGGCAATGGGAGGCCATGGCGGCAGCAAGCCATAAATCAATTGGCAGCGTAGAAAAATTGCAGAAAATTACTTGATATTTACGGTCACTGAGCACACAATAGAGCCGTGGCCCCACCCACACTGCCATCCTTCCGCCTCCGCCTCCGCCGACAGCAAAGCAACAAGTATTGCCCGGCATCCGTGACACTCAGGGACAGCGACAGGACATTTGCTGGGTATAATTACACTTGTACCTTGCATCGGGGCCACATGTCGTATTAGTAATAAGTGTCAAGGCCAAGGACGTTGGCCAGAGGGGTTAAGGGGGAGGTTCGTATATAATTTAATTAACGTTGAAAGTGACAACTGACTATTTTGAGATTGATGATTTAATTTTTAATTAATAGATATATATTTTTAAGGTTTAATTTGGTAAATCAGATTAGGAGTTAAATATCCCTTAGGTTTAGTCCAAGGCAAAAGTTTTTTTGGATTACGAATAAATAGTAATGCGCAATATTTAAACCTCTAAACATAAAATAATTAAAAATAAAAAGATTTTCTCAAATAATTAATAAGTTATCCTGAGTTCAAAATATTATTGCCTACTTTTAGGCACTTTCAGAATGAAACACTTAGAAGTTCTTATGCTCTAGGAAGGTAGTTTCTTTTAAAACCTTCTGACAAGGAACCCTCTTTCAAACGCCACCCCTGCCCCTATCGGTATGGTGCACTACTCTGTCAACGCTCTCCAGGAATAGCCTCCAGCTGGGTGGCAAAAAGCAAATGAAAGAGGGGCCTGGTGGCTCTGCATGTAATTATTCTGTCATCCGAGGTGTGTCACCCTGTTGGAGTAGTAAGAGGAAGAACTTTGATGGAAATATAGGATGGGGAGTGGGGAACGGGAACGGGAATGCCTTGTGGGATGACAAAAGACAGGCGGCCAAGCTGGCCTTGCCCTCTGACCCGGAGCCATTGTTTATGGCCACCCAGTGCTGTACATGTGCCGTAATTGCATTGTTGCCGTTGTAATTACAGGCAAACATGCAGTTAATTAAAATCATTAAAATGCCTTTGCTTTTTGCCTTTGAGACACTCTATATATGTATGTGTGTGTGTGTGTTTTGCTTGAAGACAGCTGGGAGGAGAGCTTTAATTTCCGTTGCAGGGGAAGGATGTGCCTTTTCAACTGGCGCCCAAATGTCACATTGCCAAGTGCAAATTATTTTGGATTTTTTTTTCTCTTTTGCGTGCCTGGCACAGACTTTTGTTCTGTGAAAAAAAGAAACAAACTGTGAAGGATGTGAGAAGAACGACCTGACTGCCGCATGTCGTCTGGCACGATTTTGGGCCAAGGCATCCCCTTGGATTGATTTTGATTAATGCTCCGGCAGTCGCAAGTCGAGCAAATAATTTTTAACGCTTGCCAAAACATTCCCAAGTGACAAGCTCGTGCAAAAGTCAAATATATATACGAATATGGTATACATGTGCCCATCAACGGCGTTCAAGGGACTAAGCGTCAATGGCAGACATGGCAACTGTGTCACTTAAATTGTTAATTGTTTCTTGGAAACTTTATTCGTACACGCTTCATCAGTCATGCGTTGATGGCATTTCCAATGACACCTAATACGAGTCGAACACCACCAGATGTACCTTCTCCAGCAGCGAAAGTCCTTTCAGTTGGCCATTTTGTTCACTCTCCAAGCAGAGCATACCCAATTCCATGAGACACTTGAGGCAATACAGGTTCTGATACTTTTCACCATTCGTCATCCTTATCTTATTCTCTGGCAATATGTTGAAGGTCTTGCTTAATATCAAATCATAGGTTGTTTCATTTACTTTGCAGGATTTGTAACTGATTATATTGCCACAGTAACGGCAGCCATAAGAAATCTGGAAACTAGACATTTGAAATGAGTTTCAGGGGTTTCTAGGTAAGGGAAAAGTTGGAATTTTTATTTATACTTTGAAGAGAGAGAGACAGAGAGTAAAATATGACAAAGCTAAAGGGAAGAAAAAGTTGAAAATATATTAAAAAAATCGAAAACAGTAAAAGATTGTTATAAAAACTAGTAAGCCATTCTAAATCACCAAATGGGATTACTTTTCTAGCCTAAATTTCACCACCTGAAAGGTAAAACAAGCTGTAAAAGTAAATATATATATAAATGATAACCAAAAAACTTTTTGCAATCCTGACTCAAACCATAAATAAACCGAGCTATTGATGGCAAATCATTTGTGCTAAGTCGACCCATCATTAAGGTTGAACAATCGAAAGGCACATAAAGCATATTTGATGCTCATTGGCCAAGTTGATTACAAACACAATGCCGTATTCATGGCCGGTCACGGCACTATCCTGCATCCAGCAGCTCACGACCCACTCCAACGGGGCTTTTAGATAAATAATGAGTTTAGCCCGAGTGTCCTGGGATGGGGCTGTGCCTAGGAGAGAAGTGTTGCCATCATCGTCGTCATTTGTTTATGCGTCTGTTTGCAGCTGTTATTTTATTCAGGCTCTCGCCTTGAAGATAATTTGCGCACGTGCTTCAGATTCGGTGTGTGTCTGTGTGAGTGTGTCTCGGTGAGTGTATGTATGAGTGTGTCCTTGTTTGGCCCGAAACCGGAGTGAGACAGAAGCCACATTCCCCCATCTTTATGCTCGGATAATTGCGAACATTTGTCTTGGGCGCATTGCCAAATATAAACCAAATTACGGATTCGAATTTCTTACTGGCGTCACAGCAACGGGGCCAATTAAAAATTTATGTTTCCTCTGAGTAACAAAAAGGTGTAGTAATGAATTAGCTCTGTCCGTAGCTCTGTCAATGAATTTTATGAAAATTCTAAGGGGAATAATGTTAGTTTTGAGTTTTGAAAGCATTAAAATTGATTTATTGGAAATTAACTGCCCTAAAAAGAGGATTTCGGTTGTGAATGGGTTTTAGGAGACATCTTTCTCTTTGGATATTGAAAAGGCTTTTAGGAGTAAGTGAGAAAATGTTTAAAACCAGAAAATGTCTTCAAATGTCTTCAACAAGACAAACATTGATTAAAGAATCGCCAATCTTTTTCTTAAGGAAAATGAAAAATAAACAACAAAAAAGGTAATCAAAAAGCTACGCCCATAAATTTCTCAAAAAAGCAACAAAATTAATAAAGCTTTGATTAAATGGATTCCATCAAGAAAGTTAATGCATAAAGGACAGAAAAGGTGTTCCAGCAAAACAGGTGAAAAATTATAGAGCTTAATCAAATTACTTCCAGAAATTGGATTAAGTTTAATGGTTTTCTTTGGGAAAGCTTTTCAATTAAGGCAAAACCGATCGGAAATTTTATATCTCAACTACTCAGTTGAATTTGTAGTCATCCGAGAGCCAAAAGATTAAGCCAACTTTTTTTAAGTGGACCAACTAAAACAACAAATTAAGGAAAACTAAGTTCAACATTCCCAAGTTGCTAAAGTTTTCCCCCCATTTTGGCCTCGTTTTTTTTTTTTTTTTTTTGGTTATGTTGGAACAGGCAGCTTTAGCAGCCCACCAGCATTTTCCTCAGACCGAAATTGATGAAAACGAAATTGATGTTGACTCCTGGGGTTGGGTAAAAAGGAAGGCAGGAAGGATGCCGATGTCGATGCGGTTAGCGCTGCCTTTTTGGCCAAATAACGGCGACAGGCAAACGGAATGGGGAAAGCTTTTAGCAGATACTTTACGCAAATCCCATGGGAAAACATTGGCCCACTTTTTGCTACAGCTACAGCTACAGCTACAGCTTCTGCCCCCATCATTAAAAGTTAAAAAGGATTTTCAACGGATTTACGAATTTGAAGCTGAGCCCGAAAGACAAACAAAGCCATCAATTTACATATGCGAGCAGGTCAGAGCTAAAAATTCTCAGCTTCCCCCCAAGACTACCAAGAAATATAAATTCAAGAAACACAATTTAAGATGCAGCCAGCGTTTTGAGGCGGGTCAGGGTGTGCTTTTTTTTTTTTTGGGCTGATGTAAGGGTTTGTAGTACAGGGTGTCTTGGGGCCAAAGAAACAAAGCCAAGCCAAGACTGTCAAGTAGTCGACGTGGTAGTCCTCGTCGTCGTCGTCATCGTCATCGTCTCGCATCCACTTACGGCAGGCAGTTGCAGCCCCTCGTCCTCGGCCATTTCCACTCGTAGTCATCGTCGCAAGGACCTTGAGTTGTGCCTCCCTTGCCTTTTGCCTTTGTTGTGCTAAACTTGTGGATTAGCTAAATGCAGGCAGGGCATGCCATGGCATGCAGGCGGCTTCATTCCGGTAAGCCAACATATAGCCAACCCGGCTAACAAAACCAACCCATGCCCACCGAACTCATTCTACCCATAAGGACGCCCACTTAAACCTAAACATTTCGCCTTGTTGAGTTTTTATGAGCTGCTCATGTTGGCGTTTCACTTTTCTCTTATTCTTACTCGGTCTTTCATTTACTTACACCTGATGTTCACCTTATTTTTACCAGCCCCTAGAGAGTCAGAGCGAAAACCCCACCCACCCTTATAAGGCAAAATACTGGTGGCGCTTCTTAATGACAGAAATTGTGCGTTATCATTATTTGGTAGAGTGGATGGCAGTAAATAAAGGACTTACGTATATGGGCTGTTTATTTAAGAGTATTTGTGTGCAAAAAGTATATCAAGCATGTAATTTCCTTTAATTTTTAAAACAAATATTTGTTCTTTAATGTTTTCTGTTCTCTAAAATCAAAGAACTTTTCCTTTTCGGTACTTTTGAGCTTAATTTTATCATTTTATTCGTATTACTTAAGGAACTGGTGGAAAGAGTATATATATTATTGATCAAGAATCATTTTTAGAAGTATCAGTCACTTCTTCTGAGAGTTATGCAAATTTGCTAAAATGAAGTTAGTCATTTTCTGAATCTAATTCTTTCCAAGATCTTGGAGCTTATACGGAGAGACTGACTGAGTGTCATGCCTAAATCGACCTGATCATGAATCAGGAACATATATACTTTACAGTGTCAGATACACTTCCATCTACCTGTTACATACTCTTTAACAAACTTCCCTAGTAAAAAACTGACTTTTCACGTTCCATAAATCCCGTTAAGGAATCCAAACTCATAGATTGCTTGAAGGAAAACTGCTTCCAAGCACCCCAAAACCCCACCACCCCACTTTTCTTCAACTCCATGAATGCATTTAATTAAAATACATTTGGACAAGACTCACGGGATATCCTGGCCATCTGTGTCGTCCCCTAATGAGGCCCTTCGATCAGCCTCAGATTCCATTTCCATTCGAATGCACAACATCGCCCAAAGGGACAGTGGGCGATGGCCAGTGGGTGGCATTAGCACGCCCTCAAGGACAAGAATCCAAAATCACTTGAATGCAATAGGCTGGAATAATTTGAAGGGGCATGGTCTGACCTCGTAACACCCCCAAGAAGACGTTACTCAATGGGGCGTTAATGAAATAATTAACGCATAAATACAATTTGCTGGTCAGAGTTCAAGGGAACAACGAGCAGCCAAGAAACCGCCCAAAGGGCCCAGCAAATTTACCACAACTGCTACAAAGCCATCAATTTGCTAGCCCACTTACTAGCCCACTACCCAACGCCCTTTTTTAAGGATCCAAGAAGGCAGCGAAGCATGCAATTTGCTGGCTTATTTATGGGGCCCAAGATGGTCGCGCTGGCCAAGTAGCAGTTGGTACTAGGAACTAGGAGCCACCCAACCATCCGACCATCGAACGGAAACATGAGCAAAACTTTTGCAAAATAAAAGTTTTCCGCTATTTGATTTGTTGGTCATTCGGTTTTTCCAGCTTAGCCCCGAAAAAAAAACTATTGAGCCAAATGCCAAGCGAACCAGTTAAAAGCATTAGCCGGAGATCGGCAAGAAGAAGAAGAAGAAGCCACACAGTTACACCCACACACACACACACAAATCAGAGGGACATCCACTGACAATAAAATTCAGCAACTGTTTGGCTTGCACATCCTGCTGCGCTTTTGTTTGTCGAGCAGCGAAAATTTACAATTTCTGGCGGGCAGCGGCACAGGATGTAAGCCGTTGGCCAGGATGCGCAAGAAATGGCTTCACTTCCTCTCGTTCTGCTTTATGGCTGACGAGATCTGGTCTTTAAGGCTGACTTTAAGGAGCAACCTACTCTCTATGGGCTTGCCAGCCCAGATGAGGATTCACTTTTGATGTGATGGCCGGGCTTGTTGTTTGGCCAGTCAAACGAGTGGCTCTAAAAATACCCAGGACAAGCTACCCGTTTCACTTGTCAAGAGCAGAGATACACAACCAACCAGCCACTCCTTCAGTGGTTTGGTTCGAATCGTGTGCCTTTGTGGTGGTGCACGGAAAGAAACGAAGTCCTTGACTAAGAATTAATCAGGCTTTACCTAGGGTTTTATGCACAGAAAAGAAATTTAGATAAAATTTATACCTGCTGGTTTAAAGATCAACTTTATATAAGATTATTATTATCTACTATGATTCAAATTAAAATATTCTTAAAACTCTAAGTCTTTAGACATCCTAATATCTATTTGGTACTACAGAGTTATCCCCTCTTTCTCTCTGTGCAACAAACAAACCGTTTGCATGGGCTCGATTGGCAGAAAGCATATAATAAACATTATTATGACTGTCACTGTCCGGGTCCGTGTCCAAGTCCCGGGCACATTCTGCTGACTCCGAAGTGTGGGAGGCGGATGGGTATGGACAAAAGATGGAGTCCGAGTTAAGGGGCTGGCTGGATGGCTGGTCCATCTCCGGCATAAAGTTTCACGACGTTAAGTGGATGATTATTTGCGATTACACGATGGCCAGCAAACCAGGCACACGGATACAGATACGTATACGTTTGCGGATGCGGATACGGATGCGAATGCGAAATGCGGGCACATCCTTGATGCGAAGG